TATGTGGGTAGGGGAGGGGGCTGTATATTTGTGCGCTCTATTTAGAAATAGCATCCCCAAAGTGGCTTCAATCCTATCAGTGTATGTCCATCACAAATCCACAGAAGCTTTCAGAATAAATTGTCTAAAGCTCTCGCCTTTCAGAGGAATAAAGTTAACTATTTTTTCCCCTCAGATTTTGTTCAGTGAAATCAAAAGGCACCGCAGATGAGGCTACTAATATAAGGTATTTTTCCATGTCCTAATATATAAGAAAACTAATTAAAACTAATTAATTAATTAAATGTTATAGTCTTTTGTATTAGCACTTGCCTGACATTTACCTCAGAAATACTGGATTCCAACTTTTGGGGACAGATGCTTCTTTCTCTTGCAATCATTTTTACTGCAGTTGTTAAGTGAATCACATGATCATTAAGTGAATCTGGCTTCCCCAATTGACTTTGCTTGTTGGAAGAGCCAGCTGAAAAGGTCACAAATCGTGATCACGTGACTGCAAGACAGAACCGTTGTAAATGTGAGCCAGTTGCCAAGTGCCTGAATTGCCATCACGGGACTCTGGTGTGTGTGTGTGTGTGTGTGTGTGTGTGTGTGTGTGTAGCAACAATTATAACTTCAAGGGCAGGTTTTAAGTCCCTTTTTCCAAGGCCATAGTACCTTTGAAGCACAATTAAATAAACAGTCATAAGTCGAGGACTTCCTGTACAGGTATAAAGTAAATTGATGTGCATTTTCAGGTGCTAGCCTGCTCTTCAGATTTTGTTCTTCCATTACCGTTTATTATTTGGACATATTAAAATAATACTTGAATAACAAATGAGGGGATTTCCAGTTAATGGAGGAAGCGGATGAGTGCAGAGCAGGTGGAAGCATCTGAAGAAGGAACCAAAAGATGTTTCTTTCCAAACAGAAGATTTCTGGCCTATTGTCATTTAGAGACTTATGTAGCTGCAGAAGACAGAGAACATAAACGGTTTCAATTGGAGCTGATTACATTTCTCCTTTTTTATTTTATTTTTTTAAATAAGTGCTAAACGCAGTATTACAGTAACAAAAATATATGGATATTCCAAGAAGAAAGTTCGGTGAAGAGAATTACCACATTTCCAATGTTGTTCATTTCTTAAATCAGCCTTTCATGGCCCCAGATACTTCAAGATCCTTTACTATATACTACATCTAAATCCTATCACTCCATACATCCTTGGAGCTTTAGACTCTGTCTTAATTCCAGCTATTTTGTTTGCCTTTGACCCTTGGCAACATCTGAGCAAACCCCTGCAGTTTTCAGAGCAACATTTTGGGAAGTCATTTGCCTTCTCCCTCCTATGGTCCAGAGGGAGGGTCTGGCCCAAGGAGATCCTGCTGGCATGTGCCTCTCGCTCTCCTGGCCTTTAACTACTACACTCAACTGGGTCCCTGGCTTTAGCTATTAAGAACAGCAAATCCACACTGTTTTGCTTTATTCTTGGAAACCTGAGCGTTAGAAGCATTTTTGGATTCAAAGTGTATGGTTTACTTAAGATTTTTCTCCCTTCCCTTCCCTTCCCTTCCCTTCCCTTCCCTTCCCTTCCATCTAATCTAATCTAATCTAATCTAATCTAATCTAATCTAATCTAATCTAATCTAATCTAATCTAATCTCAGGAACATAGTCTGCATTTGCTTTTCAACAAGTACGCAAAAGACTTAACAGAACATAGAAAGCAGGATGCAAGTAAAAAGTAGAAGCATTATATTAAAACTAAAATAATTTCCCAGCCAAATGTGAGAGGCTTGGAGGAGGCAAGGGAGGAAAAGCAAACACATCTCAAAGCCTTGGGGAAGCTCAGGAGAAGGCCATGCTAGAGAGGTGGGCTTCTGAAGAGCCCTTCCTGCCAATCTTAACAATTAGCTAGGTCTGCAACATGAGATCCTAAGCCATTTAGGGCTTCCAGTCTTAGTATCTTAAACTGACAGTACAGAGATAATAGCATTCCTGTATTTGCACTACTTAGCAGACAAATTTGTAAAATTATTGGCTGTAGATTTAATTTATGTTTGCCTCTTTAAAAGGTTTTGGGAAACTATACGTTCATCCTAGCACAGAAATTCATTGCTCCTTGAGTGATTGTTACATTCCAATTTTTGCCCTGTGCTCAGCGTCTTCTTTTGCCCCAGAAAGCCCCATGCTGAAGCAGCATCCCTGGTATGTGGGGAAGGAGTGCCTCATGTGTTTTGGAACTCCTTGGCTGCTCCTTTGAGAGGATATTCTGTGGGGACATGCTCTATGCAGAGGTGGCTTGGTTTTTATAGAAGATGATCGAATGTCCTGCATACAGTAAATGTGACTCGGAATCATGCATGTCCATATCAATAATCCATGATGTTCTTTTTACTAGTTCTCATATGCACATGAGACAGCATGCAAGGACTAAATGCTAGGCATCTGAGAGTTGGCACATTGTCGCTTTCAGAGAAGAGTTTTGTTGCTACCTAATAAACCACAGGCCAGGGGTTCCCAACCTTTTCTATACCCCACACCCGTAGAACGCTTCTGATATATTCTTGAACCCCTTAAAAAAATAATTATATGCATATAATTATACATATACACCAGTGGTGGGTTCCTCCCGGTTCGGCCCGGTTCTCCCAAGCCGGTAGCGGTGATGATATGATGTCACCGAACCGGTTCTGCCCCCCCATGCCTTCCCCGTGACCCACATTATTCTTACCTTTTATTTGGCCCCACCCCTAATCTACTGCTGCCTCCTGAGTCCCAGCTGATGGCTAGAGGGAAAAAAACTGTTTAAACTCTTGCTGTGGGGCTTCAAAGGGCCGCCCTACAGCTGATCAGTGTTAAAAGAAAACAAATGAGTAGACCAGTACCTGCAAAAATATATGAGTAGATCAGTGCCTGCAAAAATAAATGGGTAGACCAGTGCCTGCAAAAATACATGAGTAGATCGGTACAGCTCTGCAAGCAGTTAAAAGCCTGGTAGACCAATACCTCTGCTAAATCCTAAAGAATTGTCACATGACCATCAAGCTATGCCCATAAAATAAGCCACGCCCACAGAACCGGTAGTAAAAAAATTTAGAACCCACCCCTGATATACACTATAATTTTGAAACTTCTAAACCCAAGTTTTCGCACTCCCTGGAATATCGTCTCGCACGCCCAGTCGGGAACCCCTTCCCTAGGCCTATGTGAAATGGCTCAACAGGAGTAGAGATTAGGGATGACCTGGGTGGAAATATGGTAGAACCGAGGCAAAAGGGGCTGAAACTTTTTCAAGTCCAGAACAACATGATAACACTTGGAAGCAGCTCTAGCAGACATTTCGTGAATTGGCTAAACTACAAGGAGGAGAAACAGCACAACTAGATTTTTGATATTCTGTTATTATGGCCAATCTCAAAATGTAGTTTTAGCCTTCTTGTGGAGTTGTTTCCCTGGTCTGGTTTACCTAGGGGGACTGACCATAGGGACTGCCCAGTATGTAATAGTGGCAGCATAACCCAAGAACCCTCACAACTACTCACACAACAAATGTGCAACATATACCAGGAGCTCTCGTGGCTCAGCAGACTAATTAACATCCACTTACATCTGCTGCCTGCAATTACTGCAAATTCAAATCTCACCAGGCTCAAGGTTGACTCAGCCTTCCATCCTTTCTAAGGTAGGTAAAATGAGGACCCAGATTATGGGGGCAATAAACTGACTTTGTATAAATATACAAAAGTATGAAGGCTATTGCTTGGCGCATTGTGGGTCGCCCTGAGTCTCTGGAGAAAGGTGGCATATAAATCAAATTAAATAAATAAAAATAAATTTCCATAACCATAAAAGTTGGAGAGTTACCTTCTGCACACCAAAGTCATGTGACTCAAATATGGGAGGGGGCATCACTGGTCCATCTTTATAACCTGATTGCTGTTTTAGGCCCCAACCTTTAAACCTCTTTTGTTCTGCTTGCAATGATGCATCTTTTGAGTTTCTGAAGGTTTTGTGTCCTGGCCAACGTGTTTAAATGCTAGAGAAAGAACTCATTTGGAAATTCTCAATGTACTAATTCATCTGACACTCGTAAGATACAGAAAAACTGCAAAACTCCATTATGGATTGAGCTCAGGCATAAAATAGGACAATTTAAATAGTAATTTCCATATGCAATTACCAAGGTTGCCAGCATTAACTCTTACAAGCACAAGGCAAGAAAAGGCATAGTGCCACATCCAGGAATATTTCAATGATTGATGTGATGCTAAAGGCTCACAATCAAAGGGCTATCGAAATACTCTTGTCAAGTAAAATTCAAAATGGAGATTTTTCCTTAGGCCAAATATCTAAAAATTTTTTGAAAGGAGCCAAAATAATTGCAATTGTTGTTCACTATGTTGAGGTGCAAGTTGTGATCTGTTGGCAAGAGAGACATATGCTGGAGCAAGTAGCCTGGTTGCTCTCTAATGATCCTTGGGCCCTGACTGGATTGAGCCAAGAGCAAGAATCATCAGAAGAATGAATTTCAGCCCTCTGTGATTTTGCTAGCTCAGGTCCTCTGGCTCCTAAATATTGGTAGTGTTGGAAAGGTTTGGGACCTAGAGGACAATCCTTGGCCCTTCTTCCCAAGCTCCATCTGGAACTGGAAAGGGAAACTAGCCTGGTTCTAAAATGCAGAGTTGCCCCTTCCCTTTGGTGTTGGTAGCATCCTGCCTGCAACCATCTCGGGAACGTCCCTGAGAACTAGAAGAGAGGATGTCTCCAGCACTGGGATACCTTGGGATACCTCTTGTGCCTGCTACCCAAAGGCTCAGCCCACCTCTGTTGGATCAGAAGAAGGAATGGGAGGTCTTCACTGCAGCTATGGTACATATTGGAAAGTCATGAGGTCTGCTTCCTGGGGCAAGCTGGACAGAAGCTGGGGATAACAGATTTTAGAGTCTGATCTCTTGCTGTGGGGATGTGGGGAGTGACGTGTGGTGGATTGAGACGTGTCTATGAGAGTCATAGAGGTATATGTGACTCAGAGCTGTTTTATTAGTTGGGATCATTCCTAAGGAAGGGAGGTGAAGTCACTCCATTGGGCCACATACCTCCCTCCGCACTGCTGAGTCGTTAGGGTGGGGATGGGCCTGCCGCCCTCTTCACCTCCACTCGGCTTGGTTCTCCTTTGCCAGGGAGTTGGGGGTCATGAGGCTTGAAAAGTTTGGCTTTCTGAGGGGGGCAGGCACCGTGTTCTTCAGCTTGTTGAGCTTGTCCCTCTCTTCTTGACATTTCCTCAAGCACGGGGGGCAAAGGTCTTTCTCTTCTACCAAATAGAGTGTCTCAAGGCGTTTGATGTTATCAATAAAGATTTCCTCTTCGGTGGGTCCAGGAAAGGGGTTCCTCTTGGTGTTTAGCTTCTTCAGTTTAGGGAGCTTTGCGATGCTGTTCGGGATCAGTGTCAGCAGATTATCAAATACCCCAACTTCCTGGAGCTCCTTCAAAGCTCCCAGGGTGGTTGGGAGGTTGTCGATGTGGTTGAGGCCAATATTAAGATTTCGCAGGTTCTTGAGCTGGTTGAGCTCCATGGGCAAGCTCCGGGCGGTGAGCTTGTTGTTGGAGAGATTCAAGAAAATGAGGTTCTGTAAGTTCCCTATAGTTTCTGGCAGCTTATCGATCTGGTTGCTATGCAAGTCCAGCCAGCGCAGGTTCTGGAATTTATCGATCGCCTCCGGGATTTTCTTAATCATGTTTCTGCTGAGGTCCAGCTCATCGATGTCCTCCAATTTTAGGATGCACCTGGGGAACGTCGTGATGCCCATCTTGCTCAGGTCAAGGCGGCGCTTCCCATCAAAGGTGATCTTTATGCAGGTCTTGGCGACCTTCAAGGTGACCTTTTTCCCCTTGGGGGGTTTTGCTCCTCCCTTGGCCATCCCTCTCACTGAAAACACAGCAGCTCAGGGGGCATGAAAAGGTGCTCCGTTGAAGTCAGCAGGTGGTACTTGATGTTGAACCCTAAAAGCACACAAAGACACGCAGGCACAGAGTTAACTAGGAGGGACAGCTCCCATCTGCCATTCTGCAGGGCTGCAACGGGGACAGCGTGGCTCACGCCAAGTTGATCGGACAAGAATAGAGAGACACCTGTTTTCTCCACCTGTTTGGGTGCTAAAGCTGCTAAAATGGGTTGAACATCAAGATCCTGAAACCTGGTCTTTGATATTGCTTCTCATATAATACTTTTTCTATAAATACATGTTCTGTCATCTGTGTACATAGTTTTCCTCAGAACTAGGCAAGCTTAGGGAAGCAAATATCATCTATAAAGCAACTTTCAAATCTACCTTGTTACTAGGTTCCCGGACACTTTGAAAATATATTATGCATGGATATATATTAGTGTTTCAAAAGAGTTGCTGCAGTGATCTTAATCGGAAAGTGTTTATCATTTCAAAGCTTGGATTGTCATAGAATTAGAATAATATTCTTTTATTCTAAGGAGTCTTAAATGAAACAAAGGTTGTACAGCCGCTAGCAGAGCCTGTGGTTTTAACTGTTCTAGCTTGGAACTGTTTGGACATGGAATTACAATGGCTGTACAACAGGGGTGGGTTCTACTTACCTTTACTACCGGTTTGCAGTGGGGCTACGCATGTGCAGAAGCGTTTTGGTGACATCGGGGTCGGTGAGTGGGGCCTCCCGCTGGTTTTACTACGCTAGTTTTTCTATAGAACTGGTGCGAACTGGAGTCAACCCACCACTGCTGTACAGCCTCAGGAAGGTAAGATTTATAATTTATAAGGTTCATTCACTGACTACAGCAAAGGAAGGCAATTTGTACCTAACAATATATGAATTAAAATCGTATTCAAATAATTACTTTTCAATGACACTAATTTGCACATGATAGACAGTCCTCTGAAATACTTTAATATCAGATGTTTTCATGCTTAATCTCTGTGATTAAAGCAACAAGTAGAACTGCTCTCAACTGAACCCATGGATTATAGCCAGCCAATAAAAGGATTTTTTTTTTAATTGTAGCAAAAAAAGAGCTAGCCAGTTTGGTATGTTTATACCAAACATTTGAGGAAAACATTATATGCTCCTTTCATTAGACAAATTCAGTGGGACTGCATACATTTTCCACAGAAAGGAAAAGTACTGGCTCACGTAGGTGTCAATCATTCTTTATTTTATATTCTTCCTGTATACACCACAGCAATTCGGGGGTGATGGCATGGCTTGGTGGGCATGGCAGGGGAAGGATACTGCAAAATCCCCATTTCCTCCTGATCAGCTGGGACTTGGGAGGCAGAGAATAGATGGGGGTGGGGCCAGTCAGAATTTTTACTACCGGTTCTCTAAACTATTCAAAATTTCCACTACTGGTTCTCCAGAACTGGTCAGAACCTGCTGAAACCCACCTCTGACTTGGGGAGCAGAGCTAGAAGCTTCAAGGTTTTCAAGGATTCTTCTTGAGAAACATACTAGATCTTGTTCAAAGTTTATGTGACAGTTTTGCTGGGTCAAAATAAGGATTCCTTCAAATTGAGACTTGTATCCTAGTGACATCATCACAAATTATGCTATTTTCTCAAAACGTGATCGAAGTGTTTGGCATTGCCCCCTTCTGGTCACGTTTGGCTTCCTCGTCCATCCGAGACCCCTGGGACTCGCCGGGCATTCCTTCTCACCCACCTTCTAGTCCTGGGGAGACTAGAGCTGGGCCTGCGCCAGGGGTCGTGGGAGGGAGAGGTTTTCCTGCTCAGAGGGGCTCCCCGTCTCCTCTCCCCTTCAGGTGGCCCAGGGTCCCTGGCCTGATCCCTGGTGAGGAACAGGTGAAACTGCTGCCAGATTTTATGGCCCCAGAAACTGGGATGTGTCTTGTGAAGGCTTGCTATGGGATGAAAATCACCAGACTTGGAGACTTGCTAGGTATGGTATTAGGATAACAGCAAACATGAAGCAGGTGTGGGTATCCCAAGAGGAGGAAGAGGAGGAGAGGGTGGGGCACTTTGACTACTTCTGGCTCGGCTAATTCCTTGCCACGCCTCTCCCTGGTAGTGGCATCAGCAGCACCTACCTGGTCCTCCGGGGTCCCCCAGCCTGCCCCCGATATTTGTGCCTGGGGAGGGCATCGGAAGGAAGCATTTGTGAGGTCGTTGGCCAGTGCTGGCAAACCTCACAGGCAGCCACCTCACAATGCATCACCAGGGGCGTCATCTCCTCTGCCTCTCCTTGACTAAGCTGTCCTGCTGTGGGCGATACCCTCGATGAAGGATTCGGAAAAAGTACTCGGAGGAGGATGCCCTAATCCTAATCCCTCCACAGCCCCCTCATTCTCCTTACCTGGGGCTCCCACAGCCTCCCGCATGAGGATGAGCCAGGCTGCTTGCTGGGATTTCTGTCGCTAAGCAATTCGGTCATGTGATGTCCTGCTTTGTGACTGCATTGCTTAGCGATCCCAATTGCCGCCATAAGGCAAGGACTCCCTGTATGCCCCCCTCCCCTTGCTTGTTCTCATGACAGCTGTCCCCCCCCCATCCCTCTTCCTCCCAAGGCTGCTCTCTCTGCCTTCGCCCACTGAATGCCAGGATGCCTTGTGCTCGCTCGGCCCTCAGCCTGGCTCCTGGAGGCGGGCAGGGCTCTTGGGGGCTCCGAGGGCAGAACAGGTTTCAAGAAGCAGCCCCCCTCCCCCTCCATCCCCCCCGGGACAAAAGGCCAGGAAGCGCAGGGATGGCTGCCGGCTGTTTGCAAGAGCCCAGGAGGTTCCGGTTGGCTTAGCCCCAACTGATCCAAGCTCCCCACCCCCCCACCCCCCCACCCCCGCGCATTTAATTGTGAGGAGGCAAATCACTGTTTTGATAAATGATTGTTTGTAAAAGAATGTAGATTTGTTTAGAACACACTTCTCCATTAGAAGGCTTTCATTACAAGCGCTTCAGGCTTTTCGGCTACTCATTAATCATGTACGAATCCAGGGACATCCAGGGAGATCAGAGGGAAGCGGTGACTTCCAGTTTGTCTCAATAACCCATTTGAACAACTCATATGGCGGTGTGTGTGTGCGTGTGTCTGGGCCAGGTTCCTCCCTTCACCCCCAAATTTATTCAGAGGAAGTAGAGAGGTGGCGAGGGCATTCTTGGGTCACATTCTGGCCAGGAGATGGCTCTTCCTGACTTTACTGAGCAGCAAGTGTTTTATAAGTATTAGAAAATCTTTTTACAAGTGCCCCACTTTGTCTGAAATCTGCTATGGTCTTTTAATCACTCACTTTTTAATCAAAATGAATAAGATGAGCAAAGGGGGTAAGAATTAATCCACCTCCTGTCTCAGGGCTGCTTAGTGTGTTTGGCAGATGTAGATTAGGAGGAAACCACCGGGAGGAGGAATGGAGGAGGTGTGCCACGCACCCTGTGGCTGAGGTCAAAAGAGTCAAGATGCTTTCCAAAAGCAAGATTTCTGAATTGGACAATAAAATACTTGGAATCTCTCCTTTGTAGACTTGGTGTTCCTTTAAATGCTAGAATCCCTAAGCCAGCGTGCAGCCAGGTACTTTCCCTCAAGGCCACATGTGGGCTGTCAAATCCTAAGGCCTGGAGAACTCTTGTCTCCAGGAGCTGGCAAATTTTTCTTTCTTCTTGACGAGGGAAATGCATCAAGTTTGAACCAGAGTGGCCAAGAAAGGCTTCAGAGCGGCTTTCCTAGGGGGACACAGCTGTGAGCAAAACTTCCACACATCATGATAATCAAGAAGGATTACAGCCCATTGAGTGCACCTGCCTGACCCAAGAGTGAGATCAACCTCCCACCATCCCTTGCAAGATGGCTGCATCTGATAGACTATGATATAGCTGAAAAACTTTACTTATGTAGCTTTACTTCCTAATAACAAGCTGCTTTAAATTAAATGGAGTCTGCAGTTTCCAATCCGGACTTGTAAATTCTACTGTACACAGAGAATCAACAATAAAACAAGTATTTTTTTTAAAAAAGAAACTACATAACATTTAATGGAATTGCACGCCAGCTAAGTTAATATTAGTGGGCCTGGCCTCATGCTTTCTTGGCAAACCCATTTTTCCAGGAATCTTCTCTGATTAATGGGGACTTTCTCTGCCAATGTTTGGAGATAAATCTTTGAACTGCATGGAAAACTCTCATCTGATTTTTGCTGGCCCGCAAATTCTAAAACCAAAACCACAATTTTAAACAACTGGCAACCTGCTTGCTTCAAGAGAGGGTGACTTACCCGGTTCCTGTGATATTGTAGTCAGCTGTTGTGATGCCGCCTGTGAAACTTGGTATCTAAGCGACAGGAAATTCCAAGCCCTTGGAGATCACACAACACGGGCCTCGTTTCCAACGCCAGCTCCACCTGCCGGGCCTGGGAAGTCAGCCCATGCCTATTCAGAGAACTGGACTGGCGAATTGGTGCTGCAGCTGTTCCAGAGCGGCCTACAAGAAGCTCCACCACAGCTGTGAGATATTGCGCTGCTCTGACAGCAGTGACGCAGCAGAAGAAGGCGCCTTCTCTGGTAGAGAGCCAAGAAGTGCAGCAAGCGTGGTCCTTTGCCTTCCATACAAGCAAAGAGCCACAGGAGGGCCACTGGCTCAGGGTAGGGAGGTGAATGAAATTACTTCCATCCGTGGCTATCTGGCTTCTGCTAGGACCCCTCCCAGTGAGCCCCCACCCTCTGAAAAAGTGGTGACATTCTTGTAGGCATTGACCTGTTTGATGCCACGCCACGCTGCTGACTCTCATGTACCTGAGGATGGAAAAGCCTTTCCACGCATACCATTGCCAAACCCAAACCCCTCCCCCCCACTTCTCCCCCATTTGTACTGCATAGATTCATAGGGAATCCTCCCTTAATGACCACAATTAGGACTGGCCATTCTGCTGCTAAGGTCCTTAAGCATGACATCACATGACTGCAATGGATTTACTGCAACATTCTTGATAGAGGAGAACATTTGTAGCTCAGGGTTGAACTGAGAGGTTGGTTTTCTTGCAAACCTTTCATGACCCAACTAGGCCACATCAGCAGTGCTGGTAGAGAGTGGGGCTTAAACTGACCAAGTTTGCATCCAGATTTCAGACCCAAACTGGATCAGGCCTTCTTTGAATACCAGATGTCCAATGAAATCAAGGTCGATTTGCACAAATTGGTTGTTGGTCCCATTAGAAAAGGAAATGTGAGTGACACAATGTTTTTTGTTTTTGTTTTTTTTACAGAAAACAATCAGGGGAAAAAAAGTCCTTCCTGTTGAAGTGGCAGGTAAAATCTTTTCTTGGTGCTGTTCCACTGAAATCAATCAATCAATCCATTGTCAATTAATTTTTAAAGATTATTTTCTTCACAGTTGAGTGTTCTATAGAGACAGAACTTTATAAAAAGTGCTTCAGTATCTACATCTGAGCCAGGAAGGATGGTGCCGTTTCTCTATAGGCCTCGTAATGAAGACTTTTTTATGGAAAACCAGGAAGCAAGCTCGGGAGCCCTCTGGGCCTGGCTAGCAGGAGGAGGAGATGGAGGAGGGTGTGAGAGCGGTCCTAAAATCTTTACCTGCTGGTTAGAAACTGCTCTCCGGCCAGATACAGGGTGCTGCCTACTCTCGTATCAAAAGTCCTGAGCAACATTCAAATTAAATGGCTCTGTCTCTCCTGGGCTTGAAGCTACCCTGTTTTCCCCAAAATAAGACCTCCCCTGATAATAAGCCCAATTGGACTTTTGAGTGCATGGCACTAAGGCCAAGCGCTTATTTCAGGGTTCAAAAAAAATATAAGACAGGGTCTTATTTTCGGGAAAACACGGTACTTCCAGCACCCATGAATTTGGCCAACGGGATATCCCAAAAATCTTTGTCCCGAACAAAGTTTTCCTTGTTGGAATACAGTCCTGAGCCAATTTGTTTCTAATTAATCATATTCATATTAAATACTTTCTGGTTGTGAATATCTGCACTCTTCTGCCATGGCTAACAACTAAGGCAAAATTACCTTGGGATAACTTGGAACGATGGAAAGACCTATTTGGTGGGGGAGGGGGGAGCTTATTCAGAAGCATCTGCTCTCATAGCAGGAGACTTCAATGCTTCAGTGAGTTCAAACGGCACTAGGCTGCATGTACGCTCTGATAGTATATCATTGGATGGTGAGTGTTGGGGATAATTATACTCTGGGTTGGAATCAAAAGATGAGTTTTGTGATATACAGGAGGGCTATGCTTTGCCCAAATGGCAAACAGACTAGAGAAATGATTCAAAATGAACAAATGGAGATTAACATAGCCATCAGATTACATTGTATTCTGATGCAAGCAATTTATTCAGTAGATGTGTTTAAAGTCTGATGCCATCTTCAAGCTCCAAACTTGAACTTTCAACCAGTTGATTCAAATCCAGCTTTATTTGGTAGAAAAGGGCCATCCAAGGCTTTGGTGGTCTTCCTTGGGCAGGACGGAAGTTTAGTTGACTAGATTCAGGTTTCACCAAGTTAAGTTAGCAACAATATTAGCCGATGGATCAGAAATAGCTGATGAGCAATTCTGGATACTGATTCAAACCCCATGTGATCCTATATCAAGGCCACATTGGCACAGTGGCATCAAGGCACAGTGTTGCAGACGTCTCAACTCTAAATATTGGTTTGATCTTGAATGCAGGAAGACAAAAAAGCCCAGCTGCAAGGCACTCGGTGGGTGCGGTGGGGCCGCCCCGTTCCACAAACATTGTGCCAGCAGAAAATAGAACATAAAGCCTTCGTTAGAAATAAAAAGATGAACATCCTGAGAGAGAATTGATAGCAAATCATATCAGCTGTTATGTTGAAAACTTCTGCTGATTATTGGCATTGGATTAGAAGAGGGTTTGTTACACAATGGACCCACAGTCGACTGTGGAATTTTAGCAGACGTTTGGGAGAAATATTTGAGTTCCATCTTTGCAGCAGCTTCTGGAAATAAGCTCCTAATCGAACCTATTACCAGAACGGCCCCCTCTCGCATCCTCAGAGATAGTTCAGCCTATTTCCCAGCTGGAATCAGGAAAACTGTTGGAAGCTCGCACAAAATTGCAAGCTCCTCTTCTTATAGCCCTCTTTCACCCTATGGACTATATACCCAAAGACTGAGGCTTCTGATGATCATAC